TTCTTCCTGGCTGGGGAGGAAGTGTTGGGGGGGGGGGGGGGGCTGCTTCGGGTGAGCGTTCGACCCGCGATTCGCCTCCGCGTCTCGGGGGCGGAGGGCGGAGGGCGGTCACGGGGTTCGAGCAGGCCCTCTGCCGGTCTCTGGCTTGGCTGGGCTTTCGGTTGCTCATCGCTACGCTTTCGCACGCACACTTATACGCTTATGAACAGACACACACACACACACATACACTCAAATATATATATGTGTGTGTGTGTGTGTGTGTGTGTGTGTGTGTGTGTGTGTGTGTGTTTATATATATTATATATATATATATATATATTATATATATATATATATATATATGTATATATATATATATATATATATATATATATATATATATATATATATATATATATATATATATATATATATATATTTACATATATATGATTTTTATAAATACACGTATATATCTTTCTTTCTTTTTAAGGAATTAATTGAAGAAAAATTCACATTTTCTTTTTGCGCCTTGCTTTAAAATAACTTCAGAGAAATATTTCAAAAGAATATTATATGAAAGTTTAATCTATTAGACAGAAATATGATAAGGACCTGGCTAAGTGAAGCAGTGGGGGGAAATTATGATAAAAACTTCAAGGACATAAAAATGAAACCTTAATATAAGTATACTATATGAATTGTGAATAACAAGGAAACAACATGAGAGACGCGTATAACGAACACTAAAATCTGACCAAAACAAAAAGGATGAATATGAAGGATCAAAACATAAAAAGAAAATAAAGAAAAGAAGCAAGAAAAGAGAGGAAAAGGGAAAAAATGATAGATAAGTACGAAGGGAAAGTTGAATAAGAAACAAGAAAAGCCGAAAATAGAGAAAAAAATAGATAAACGAAAAATGAAAAGAGAGAGAGAGAAAAATATGAAACGAAGAGAGAAGACGCAAAAGCGACGACCAGGGAGAGAAAAAAAGAGATGTGCAGCGAAGGAAAGACAAAAACAAGGAAATATATATATAAATGTGTGTGTGTGTGTGTGTATGTTTGTATGTGTGCGTGTGTGTGTGTGTGCATGTTCATGTGTGCGTGCCTGTGCAACCTGCATGTATGTATGTACATAATCATAGGGCGCTAATCCCCCCTCTTCTCTCCGTTCTGGCAGAGTTCCTCCATTTATCATCCTCTTCTTTGTCTTTTGTTTCGCTCGCATCCTTCTCCCGCCCACGAAGGACGCTGGCCCGGAGAGCAAGGTCAAATCACGTGACAACAGGTTACAACATCACGCATTTTTCTCTTGCCTTCGTTCTAATCTCTCATTTTCTGATATT